TTTTTTTTTTTTTTTTTTTTTTTTGCCATAGATAGAGAATCTCCACATCACACAGCTGGCAATGTGGTATCACTGCTGACATCTTTTCTCCACACCTTGAAACCTAAATTGCAGGATGTCTTTCTACACTCTGTTGCAATGTCTCTTTGCTGTTCTAATTGCAGGAGAACATGTGGCTGATGCAAAACATCCAAAAGCCTTGACCCAACAGGCTGATCCACTGCTAACATAGAGCAGTGTAGCTGCATATTTGTGTGCTCCGAGGAGTTGGCCCCAAAGGTGACAAACTCACTCAGGAATTAGTTGTGTGTTCAGTGATTGATAATACCAGTTTAAACAGGAATGTGTAGTCTGTCATGGCTGTTTTGAGTTGTATAAACTGACTGTGACATTGGTGCCTCTCCCACGAGAATTACAAGCTCCAATGATACAAATCAGAATTATTCTTAGAAGAATAAGGTGAGGAAGCTTTGCGGATAAGTAGGCACATTACTACAAGTTTTAAACAATGTCTATTGTAAGATTTCACATCATGCTGAGTGCCTAAAACTAGATGCCTGTTTGCTGCATACTCTAAAGTCAGTCTGCCAATGCTATTTTGTTTTTGATGTACTTAAGTACTGAAACCTTTCCTTAAGTTTCCTGTGCCCTTCCAAAGGGCACGCAGTGGATAGCTAAGCTTGGCACTCTTTCATCCTGGCTGCACAATCTGGCAAAGTGCATGGATAATTGAGAGCACAGTTGGAAAATGCAGCTCTCCCACTTTTCCCAGATGAGAATCTTAATAGCAGTCTTTATTTTGGCAGTCGATCACTTCTATCAAGATAGAGTTGCCTTTGGCCAAGCCTCTGGGATCTCTGCTAATCTCTTCTAAGTCACAAATCATTTCTTCATTCAGCATGTCATTTGACATCTTCAGTGTTATAAATTAGTTCAAGAGGGTGGACACCCAATTCACCTCCTAACCAAGGGCTCAGTTCTCATGTTTTCTGAAGTTATTTATCTTTGCTTTAGGGGACAGTGCAGTTTTACTCACTCACTGCACTGTCAAGAGAACAAGTCCCTTTGAGCCAAACACCTGCTTTCCTTTTGAAAGAATGATGGGGAAATGCCTTTTAAAAAGTCTCTATTTATCTACTTTCTTAATTTACCAGAAGTTCCTGATTACTCCAATCCCCAGAGATTTAGTAAAATGTCATAGCAGACCAAAGCCAAATAGAAAAGGAAAATTAATGTAACTGCCTTTCTTTTGCCACAACAGAGACAAAACCATGGCAATGTGCCCTCAAGGCTACCAGAACTTCATTGTGTCCTGGTCTCAAAATCCACCCATGAATGGTCTCTAACAATAGATCACTTAGGGCCTGTGAGATATGGCCCTGAGAGTCTCTGTTGCCAATACAATTTGGAAGCCAGCTGAAAGACATTGAATGTTCCTTCACTTTCCAGGCTCCTTACATAGAAACTTCCCCTCGGATTGGAAATAGAGATGGCTGCATTTGTTAGGAACTGCTTAGGATATTCATGGAGGCTTTGATCTGTCATAATTTCGCTCTTATTCATCACTTTCTCTTCTCTAACAGATTTAGAGAAAGATCATAGAATCATAGATCAGAGAAAGAAGTCATGAAACCTTATTCTTCTTTATTCCAGTTTTGATAAGGGTTTAGGAGAGTGCAGCATCTAAATCTTATTACCTTTCTAATTGTAGCAGTATATTAGAAAGTTGCATTTGCAGTTGTTCTTTTTTCCATAGGTTCTAAGGTTGTGACCTTCAGACATTATCTGACTGTGCTGTGTTGTGTTGCCATGGCCTCCACGTAAGGATCCCCATCCTTGCAGTGTCCTGTAGTGCCACAGGAAGAGCTGTTACTGTGGTACATCTGAGCCCTTACAGCACCAGGAAATCTTAAGTAACAGATCATGTTCTGCCAGCTATCAGATTAGGAGTACAAATATTCCAAGCACGTGTTATAGATTTGACTCCAATTAAATTTGTTGTGACTTCTGGTAACTTTTATTGTATCGGTGTTTGTGAGCTCAATCACTGACTAAAGCCATATTGTGCTGTAAAAGCACACAGGAAGAAGTAAGTTGTGCTACCCAGTGCTTTAGTTTTAGGTGATGATGCTTATGGCATGTAATTTTGATCTAAGATGTGCAGAACAATATAGTCTAACTTGTTTCTGGTCTGACTGTCTAAGCTCAGCATAGAGCATTGTCGTGAGTATAAAAGTGACTACTATGCTCACAGATAGGGGGCCTGTGAGCTGTGGCACGTTCCTGCACTGCTGCCTTCACACTGCTTCCAGAATCTTCCTTAATCAAATCCTGTCTGGGCTGCAGTGTGTCCATCTTTAGGCTGAAATAAAGAAATCAGCATCACCTTTGGACTGGATGTTTTCCAACTCAGTCTATGTTTTGGAAAATATTTACAAGTTATAGAAAGAAGAACAACTATTAAGAAATTACTTTAACTAAAGGGTTTTGGTTAGGTTTTCCCCATGTTAATATGCAAATTTTGACTGGATACTCTTGGTACCAGGATATCGAAGATTTAGATGCAAATCTAAAGTCCAAGGTGATTTGAAACAAGGATTTGGCTCTTCTCTTTCTTGGGTAAATACTTTAAACTGAAGAGTATTGATGATTTTGTGGGGAAATTTTCATATTATCAGTAGAAGTTGCTATGCTTTCTAAAAGAATAACTATAGGATGAGCAGAAGAGGCAGATCAAGTCTATAGAGCTATTGTAGAATTTAGTAATGAGAACAGAACTGTTTTGTTTTGTTTTGTCTTGTTTTTGTAGGTCCAGATCATTGTCTTTCAAGGAGAGGCAGAGATCCTTGTCTTTCAGTGCCCTGTGTGCTAAGCTTTCTCGCTTCCAGCAGTGGGGAAGGGTCAGAGACTGGTAAGGATTTCAGACCACAATTTTTTTTTTAATGTCTGATGCAGTGAAGAGTCAGCAAGTACATTGCAAATAAGAACGTATTGGTATTGGGATGATTGGGATGATGGAAATGTCTAAATATTCATGATATGCTCATTGAGTATTTTGGCACGGCAGAACTGTGTTTTCAACTCTCAGACATTGCGCTTTCGAGTAGAGTATGCAAACAGTAAATTTCATGTATATGTACATGTATTTCATGTATACTTCAACTATGTACTTAGATACTAATCCATGAACAGTTGAACATATATATACTTTCAAATATTTTCCATAATAGCAACTCCGACAAATGCTAAGTAGTTCAATATATAATTGCGCATCTAAATGCAAAAAACTACTGCATAAGCAAAATACCAGATTTATTAAGAAATAAATGTAATTTTACAGGCACAACAAATTTACAAGCATATTGTCTCTATCTGGTGACTATATATATTTTTCTTCATTTGCATTCCCACTGTTGTACTGAAATAGTGTCTTGAAGCTAGCAGAGCCCTTTCATGCAAACAAACTAGACTCTACAAAAAACTTTAAAATCAGTTGTTTGTGATGAAACTAGTATAGCTAGGAGAATATAATATATAAAGGAACAAATGCCTGGTGCCTTTTATTCCGAAGAAAAACTTCCACAGCAGTAATCTCGTGAACTCAGGCTTAATTGGGAATAGTAAGAAAATCTGATAAAATATGAAGCACATATAGATATTAACATTATTTTCATTTTTCTTTTTATCTCCTTGAAAAATATAATTGGATTTTGACTAAAGATTATAGTGTCTAGCTACAGAGGCTTGATCTCAGAAATATTAGGGAAATCATTTGTCTGTTGGAGAGGAGCCTGTGCCCTGGGAGAGCCCTTGAGTTTTAAATCTATTTTCGTTCAGGTAACATTTTAATTTGCTATCTTTCTACTGGATTTGGTAAGGACTTGCCCCAGAATGGCTCAGTACAAATTAATTTTCAAAAATTACTACATTTAGAAAAATGGTAGTTCTCAAGACCAAACGCATAATCTCATACATGAAACACACCTTGGGTTTTATTCATTTCTCACTGACACAAGGTGTAATTTAGTTGTCTAAAATGGAGTCATTCATGATTTACCTCAATAACATGCCAACAAAGGCTATTTTTAACATGCAACCAAATGACATCTAATTTTTTCACATTCACTTTACAGTGTTGTTGTATGCATCCTCGGTGGCATTATTAACTGGAGCTTTTCAAACAGATGAAGTATGTTACTGTGGCTAAATTGTAATGAAAGAAGAGATGGCTGTTTGCCAATAAATGGTGAGTAGCTTGTAGAAGCATGTAATTACATAAATCACAAACATATGCAGAAGATGTTTTCTCTTTACATTTAACTGGTGTTGCCTGGAGCTATAGCTGCTTGCAACTCTATTTAATTACCATAATTATTTTAAATGTGTATATCTGGGCAATCTTTGAGCTTTATGAGAATGTTATTCATACCTTATCAGTAAAAATCTAAAGGGTCCCATTCTTTCCCCAAAGAGGCGGCAGTAACCAGGTTTCTCCAGATTTCAGGCATAGAGAGATTGCAGCGTTTATAATTTTATTTTGAATTACAGGTTTTTAAAAACACAAGCCTCTGAAACTAATCATGTTTTGAAATCTCAGTAGATGCTATAACTTCCTGGTAGGAAATTAAGCATTGTACATTGTTTGTGGTAAGAAAGTACCTGGAGATATCCCCATATGCTTCTTTTACATCTTAATTTGCTGACTGGGTAAATGTTGTTTGGCCAAACAGATCGACAACTATCTAGGAAAGGTATCGACTGTGAAAATAAGCACTTCCTATGGGAAATGTCAAAAGAATGTCAGACTAGCTGGGATTTTTCAGTTACTTTTATCAAACAGTCAAATAAGATAGTGTGGGACACTTCTAAAATTGTCCTCTGTGCTAGAATAAACCCAATTCAGACAACTGGTGCTAATGGAGTTGCCCCAGAGTTACCACAGAATAACACATGCTTTTAGTTCTTTTCTCATTTATGTCAGTTTTCTCATTTATGTCAGTTTTATGCTAGCTTCGTGCTATTGATGCTTGTTGAGCTACATATGGCTAAGACCAATACTTTAGTTCTGAAATATAGATGATTGGCCAAAGTGTACATGCCTCAGTTTCCCCTAACTAATATTAATTAATGAGTGTAGAGTTCCTCAGTGAATACAGTGGAAATGGTAAAACCCTTGGGAATAACAAATTTGATAGCTAAATAATCAAAAGACCAAACGGTAGGAACCATAAGCAAACGTCATGTATAGCTGGTGGAGAAAGCTTATGAATACGGACATGGAATCGTTATGCACTGAAAGAACAAGAAAAGTAAGTTTATGGTAGAAGATAATGTAGTTTATTAGTTCAACTCTACAATTTTTAAAAGAAACAAAAACCATTACATAAACACACACACACACGCAAACAAATGCCAGTGATGACTTTGACTACACAGCACTCCTAAATCATTCAGTGCAAGGGAAACAGGATGATGGCTTGCATATTGTCTTTTTCATCAACTGCTATGGTTAGCATTGCAAGTGATGTCTCTTTAAACAGCTTTTGTAAGTCATGAGGTCATTTTTGTTTAATTGTAATGTGACTTGCCAGCTGTAGATCATATGTGCAGTTTTGTGATATAGCTTAGTCTTTTCTTCCACCACCCAAGAGAAAGCATACACAAAGCATTTTTTTTAGAAATTAGTTACTACATTTTCTCCTGAAAAAAAATAAAAATAAAAATAAATGCTAGCCTATGGAATGCCAGTGAACAATGCACTTTCCACATCATAGAGTGGTTTGTTTAATAACCACAAATTATTTCAGGTAATTTGGCACCAGTTTAATTGCACCCACAAGGATATCCTCAACAACAACAAAAAGGTAAAAAAGAACCACCCCTACTATCAACACCATCAGGATGAGCTAAAGGCAAAATTTCCATTCATTAAATTATGATTAGCTTTGGTACTACCTTGTCTATCAAATACTCATACCATGCTGCAGACACACCACAGGGAAACATTTATGTGAAGTTACAAAAAGGAAGCTGATGGAAAGTGATACTTTTCTCATGTATTAAAATGACAATAAAATCTCTCAGATGAAGGTACAAACTACAACAGTAAGTAAAAATGCAGGTTATGAAGTTAAAATCCAGCCAAGGCTTTGTCAGTCAATATCTTTTATTACAATGAAGAACACAAGGATAAACACAAGATTTCCTAACTTTGAAAGGCAGTTAATATGGACTTGTAGTTTGACTTCTGCTCCTTATCATTTCACTTATTTCTGAATCACAGTGTGATTGAAAAACTCTGATGGTGACATTAACCTGCAATCTCTGTGGTATTGGCAGCTATATAGAGGGTGATATATGCCCTGTCAGTAGGTTACAAAGCTCTTTGATGAATAGCAGAAGAATGTGGGAATAGGAAATCCCCCTAGTTTTGCCCCTGGGAAGAATATTTCTTGGTAATTTTAAACCAAACACTGAGGTTTGGAACATTCATTTTAGTAGCAGATATTGCAGAACTGATGTGAAATTCCATTCAGTTCAAGTGTTTTGGGTTCTTTCTAGCAGCATGAAGAAACTTCCATCCAGCCTCCCTGAAGTATGTTTTTCTGAGGCTTACAAAGGTAGTGTCATGCAAAGAACAGAGTTATTTATGAAACAACAGTAACACCAAGCCATCACGTTTCTCCTCATGAAAGCTATGGTCATTATGGCTTTTTTTTCACAGTCAATTTTCCCTATTTCATCAATCAGGTAAGAGCCAACAGATTAAATTTTGATTTATTTGAGAAATCTGACTATAAGGAAAAAAAAAAAAAAAAACAAATTGATTTAGCATAGTTTTTCCTTAAAATACAGGCAAAATTCTGTTTATCCCTGATCTAGTATGCTTCAATATAAAATAAAAATATTTATCCTAAGTCAAAAAGAGACCATGGCCTGAGTGACAGTTTCATTGTTACCAGACTACTGTCCATGTCTCCAGCTTTGTTTCAAATGACTTCGATTTGGCTCTGATTGCTACATGCTCCAAAGAGTCTATCTCAATATGTATTTATCTGCGAGTATGCAGAGTGAGCAATCTGATCTTATTTTGTTGAAATCCTGCTCTTTATCATGGTATCTTTTCAGTCGGGTTTATTAGCTATTAGTTACATAAATACTACATTTAAACTGAAAAGCAGATCTCCATGTGATAAGAATTTCACACAACAGACTGCTTTGGAATAGTTTCAGCCTGAATTTCTATTGCATTTCAGTGGATTTCTTTGTATTCTGACTGAAACGTTTGCATAATTGGTGGGAGTAAGGGAGGAGAAAAAATAGGTTCTACATGTTGATTATTATTCAGCGACAACTGTGTGATAAACATTACTGCATGAAGATGTTTCATTTGACTTTGAAGTCTAGGAGATTGCTGTAAAGTTTGCAAAATCCAACCATCTGTTAAGAATACATGGTAAATTCCTCATCTTAAAATTATACAATGAAAGACTGTAGTTCCTGAGACTTGAAGGGGCTGGATATGATTACAAATTAAATTGTAATGTAATATGGGCTCTTCCAGTCAAGTTTTCCAGTGAAAGTTGAGGTTGGCTAACTAGTTCTTTCCTGAGCACTGCCCTATGGATCTGATCCTTCAGGGCATCTTGGCAAGAGACTGGCAGATATTTTAAACCTCTAATTAATGCCAAGTATTTCACTTCACTTTTATTTTTAAAACATGGGAAAAAAAAAAAAAAAAAAAAAACCCAAGCCAAAGAAAAAACAAATATTTTCCATTTGCCATTCATTACAGATGTCAGACAGCCATAAATATAGAAATGGTCAGCTGCAGGTGCAGCCCAGTTCTGCTGTGTAATACACACTCTATTCCTATAACACTACTAAAAATGGTCTGGCTGGCTAATAAATAGCACTAACGTTACATAGTAAAAAGTGAAAATTAATGTGAATGCTCCTGGTGAGCTAGTTATATTAACAAACCAATCATGTAGTATCAGCAGGTATAATGATAGACATATAATGACAACATAAACTTTTAATAGCTTCTGCAAAAACTTTCATTCCTTTCAGTATTGGGAATTTAAATTCAGTAGTGTCATATAACTTTATTTCCCTGTATTTAGGAGGAAAAACATGCAGGAATTTTTAAATTAAACTCACTATCTGCTTCTGAAAAAACTCTTTGGGCTTAACCTTGCATATATCACTGTTATCTTACATAATCTGCTGGTAAAGCCCTGTTACCTCCATCAAAGGTTCTGCCCCTTGAGCGATACCCTTTGATAGCTAACTGATAGAGAACTGATAACCCCTTGCTGATAATAAAACCTTTCCCACACCCAGAGCAAGAAGAGAGTGCAATCTAAAATGGCAGTGAATAGAGGAAGATGATAAACAAACAAAAGGCTAATTGATTTCTTCTCCCTAGAATCAGAGCTATGTCTGAGCAACAGTCCATCTGGCCCCATATCCTTTTGCTGATGTCGAATGATACTTCACCAGAGAACATACTCTATGTTCCCTCCCAAGCTTCCTTCCAGATCCTGACAGCAGTTGAGAAAGTTTCTGAAATAGACTCATCTTGACCAGTATATGTAATAACTATAAAAAAATCTATCAACTCCATATTGTCTAATCCTCCTCAGAATCCTCTTTGATCTCTGCATCATCCAGTGTCAGTAAGTACCTCAAATTAATTGTGTCACAACCTTTGCCAGGGTGGTTCTTAGGATCACTGCATTTAAAGTTGTATGTAAGTACTAAAATTACATGCTTGTTGTGGGGAGGTGGGAAATAAGGAAAGAATTCAAATTACTACATATTTTCATACTACTGTTATATTTTTGACTCAGTCAAGTTAACATCAAAACTAGGACTTTAGTAGGAGATGAATAAATCCTGAAGTTATTTCATTATTGCTTGCACTTGTGACCAATCACAATTTCTCTAAGAGTGAACACATTGGAAAAATTCTTGTCTCCAAATGGATCCTCTCTGTGACTTTGAAGGACCTTGGCTTGGCTGGGAATACTGCTGCCCAAGACCAATTGTAAGTGTGAGGTGCCAAACACATGGACACCAGTCAGGAGCAGGGACCCAGCAGGTTGGTCTGTATTCTTTCCCCACCCTGATGTGTGCATCTGCATGAGGTTTGGTTTTCGTGGGCTTTAAACAAACAGGGGGAGGGAGAAGCCCTTTTCATGCCAAGCACAGGCAGCAGCTCAGCACCCACTAAGGAAGGAA